CTAGATATACTAGTAGATGTCTATATATATATATATTAGATAGACAGATATATTGTTGAACTCTAAATAATAATTCGGTAATACCAACACATATTCTTCAATATTCAAAGACAAAATCTACTTCCTTATAAAACATAACATCAATTGATGGAACAGTTAGAAAGATGGCTTGCTTGAAAATGTTGGTATTCTTAAACAACAGGAATTAATATTAAATTTTTTTAACATACCAATTGTCGATTGTACCATTAAATCGTTCGGCTGTGGGTTTGCTTCAGTTTGAAGTTTCTCATTGCACATCTAGAAATATATAATTGTTAGTGAAAGTACGTAACTTTAAAAGGAAAATATATATATGTATGCGAAGCGTAAATCGCGACGGTTCTTTATTTTGACAAAGTGAAGTCAAATGAATGATTCTACTAGGATCCTGTAGGCAAGTTTCCGAGACACAGCATATATCGATGGCACCAGATTCTTAAGTCCTAGCTAAGGAATCCTACAGTCTTATTTGACACAAGGTTCTGGAATTAAACGCTCCAACATTTAGTTTAGAGCAGGGTTTCATGAAACCAGGAATATCATTTCATGTAATCAAATCGTTAGCAGTAGCGGAGCCAGGTGATAACTATATGCGAGAAGTGCTAGTTGTGAAGATAAGAGAATTATTGAGAAGTATTGGAAGGGATTCATTTTGACCAACTTGATTTTGTGTGCTGTCACGAGTATGAGGTCGGATGTCACTTACCGAGTGCCCCCACCGTGGAATGGCATTCCTTTTTGAGGAACCTGAAAACGAAGTTGGGTTAGCGTTGATTTTAGTGACCTCGGAGAGTGACCACAGAGACCAAGGGACAACTGTTTGCGGCCGGTCACGCCCGACCTTTTTATGGGAAGTTTCTGAAGTGTTAGCTCCGCTCTCCAAAAAGCCTTGGCCGGAGATCAAAACTGTGCGGTAAGGTGAGGGAGACATTTTTAGTGCCAACCTTTTCTAACTTCTTTCGTCTATTGTGAGAAGGCAGCATCGCTCCAGATGCTGGTTGTACAAGGGAATTAATTTCCTTATTGCTGTCACACCGAGCTACAGTCAGCAGTACAACTTCGCCCTCAGACTTTGAGTTGCTGCTTTTAGTCTTACCGTTCTCTAATCGACTTGCCTGGCATGGTAGGACCGAAATGAACATATGTTCTAGTCAGTATAGCTCGGATGAGTCATCTCGATAGTCAAGCCCCACCACTACTACGTTAAGGGGCAGCCGAAGCCGAGTTGTGTCAACTTCATTATTTATTCTGGTTATTCAACCTTGAATATGAAATTTTCCTACCAATCGCCCTCTCTCTTTATTGACGGACAAGTGTTGTTGAAACGTTGTACGCTAAGGTTCATGTTATCAATTTGAATAATAAAACAGACCGAATTAGAATAGAATAATTGTTCTTAATTCATGAGATAGAGTAGGCCCCTACGGATGCCCATATTTCATCACTTCACAATGACGAAACTATAAAGCAACATTTAAGAACAATCGTCATTTTAAAATAACTGAATCTAATTTTCATTGAAATTCCTTTTAGTTTAACTTTTACAAAAATAAAGGAATTACCATGTGCAAAAGGTTTAATATCGATCGATTTACAATTACCTAAAGACTAAAAAAATGTATCAGTTACCTAAAGAACGCTAAACATCATAAAAATAAAACAGATAGACTGAAGAATCCCATTTTCAAGGAAAATACTGTATCATTTAGGAATGATATGCTGATCTAGCGCCACATTTGTTTTTAATAAGGTCGTTTTAACTCAACACGAATCGTGCTCAGGAAAAATTACGGAGTGATCACTTTTTTTAAAATTAAGAATGTTTCTGAAATAAATAAAAAATTTGAAGAGAAGAACATAGATTTAGGCGAAATAGCACGAATTTTCTTGATTATGTTTGCTTCTTGTCAGCTACTTACAATCTGTTATAGTTAAGATCATAAATAGAGAATGGGTTCGAATTATCTACATGAAAGAGCTTAGTCCTGACCGAAGCTGCTACCTTGACGTGGCGGTCGGGCTTGCCTATCGTGATGACCCAACCGAGTTATATTGGCTCGAACATATGTTCCTGAAGGTTATACCATGCCAGGCAGGTCCATTGGAGAACGATGAGACTAAAAGCAGCTACCCAAGAACTGAGGGCGATGTCGTACTGATGACTGCAGAGGGGTGTGACAGCAGTAAGGTGTTTTCTTCGGACAACCAGCATCTGCATTGATGCTGCCTTCTCACAAGGAAGGAAGGGTTAGAAAAGGTCGACCCTTAAAATGTCATACCTCACCCTAACTCATGGATTTCCGTCTCCGTCGATAAGGGTGCCCACTAAGGGCTTTCAAGAGCGGAGCTAATACTCGAAAAACCCATCATAGAAAGGCCGTGCGTGACCGGCCTCAAGCAGTTGTCCCTTGGGCTCTGCGGTCACGCTCCCAGGTCGTTCAGACCAACCCTAATCTACCTTCCTTTTCAGGTCCCTCAAGAAAGAACCTTCCACGGTGTGGGCAGCCGGGAAGTGACAACCGCCCTCATACTCGTAACAGCACACGAGACTAAATTGGTCAAAATCAAATCCTTCCTACACCCCCTAATGCCTTTCTTATCTCTACGACTAACTCTCCTCATATTCGTTTATCGCACTGCACAGCTAATGCAAACGATGCGAGTTCACGAAACGTCATTTCTGGTCTCCTGAAACCCCGCTCTAGACTACATGTCGGAGCATTTAATGTACGTACATTGTGTCAAACAGGGCAACAGGCTTCATTGGCTACGAATTTAGAATCTCGCTCAATCAATGTGTGCTGCGTCTCAGAAACGCGCATACAGGATCCGAGTAGCATCATTCACTTGAATTGAACGACATGGCTCAAAATCGATTGCAATGGCGCAAGTGCATCCATTCGTTGAGCTCTCTCGAATCCTAATCTTCTGGATTCGTCAGCACCTCTACCTTTGTCTTTCTAATCTTATCTCACTGAATTATATTTATTGAATAATATCTTCGAACCATAGTCTTCTTTATTAACATTAATACCTCTACTATCTTTATCACTATGAGGTTTGATTTGACATTTGCGTCTCTGTGCTAATGTGGTATGGCAACATGAACTTATGTACATACGTACGTTGCAACTGACTGAAAGAGCTTGGTGTTAGAAGTTGCTTCCATTACATATCAATATAGAGTATAACAAGGCTGCCATTGATGTTGATGAACATCCATTGATAATCATAAAAGTTTAAGAGGCTAAAAACAAGTGATTATGAAATAAAATCAATCAATACTGATAATAATAAGTAAGTAAGTAAGCATAAAATGCGTAAAGCTCAGTTAGTTAACATTAGCACTAATCATCTAGAAGGACAGTTGAAATAAAAAGCATAATGATGTAATTAGTTGGAAGAAAGAAAGAGTTGAACAACATTTTATGATATAGTGAAGGAATATTTATCACACAAAGCAAAGAAAGATTAACAACCATAAAGCATAAAGCAGATTTCAGGCGGCCAATAGAAACGGCTTCAAACTTTAGAAGACTGAACACTAGTTGTTTATTATTCACTTTGAAAGATTGAAAAGTATCAACCTAGCATCGTGTATCCAAGAGATGTTTAGTGATTACACTGTTGTTTACAGTATATCCAAAGCTTTTTAGGAACATGTTTAAAGAATCTGAAGTATAGATAGTTATTTACAAAGTTCTGTGAAGTTTAATAAAACACGAAATAAGTTTCTAACGTCGAAAAATTTCGAACAGGACTGTAATATCTTTAAAAAAAATGAATATACTTTCCACACCCTTGAGACCTTTCATTTTATGCTGACAGAAGTCATACTGAGAAATATGAATCATCTAGGTCTGATTCTCAATTAGTTAGGAATCGGTAAATTTAGAACTTTGATGATATAATAGAAAGACAGACACAAGTGCTAGAATATCTTCATCTAGTCTTCTTTTGAGCGTAAAATATGTCGTTGCCTATTATCAATGAAGTTCAGTTCGAGTTGCGCGTGAGATAGTTATCCGTTGCAGGCAATAGATGAAGGTTGCAACCCTATTATGGATAGATTGAAGTCAGAGATTAACACTGGTAAATGCTAACTCATTAACCTAGATATTCCGTGTTTTTCCATGTTGGACCAAAGGTCTTGAGGTTAGACACATGCGTACAAGGTCGTGTACATATGCACTGGCGAGAAGTCTTATATACAAGGACTGTGCTTTCAAATTTTCAATGATAGGTCTATCTGAGATCAGTTCACAATTTTAACTGTGAAAATAATACAACCTACAACACATATCTATCGCAATCATCATGTTCACCTTTCTTGGTTGTTTCGTAATGAGAAAAGGCAGAAATTTAAATTAAACTAAATTTCTATAGGGATTATCGTTATTACTTATGTTCACCTTCATAAATTACAATCAACTCCAAAATATGACAATATAAAGGTGTATGGTTAAAACAACGATGCTAAATCTATTTTTGGTTGTTAATATTTTTGTCCAATCTACAGAGTAATTTTCCACTTACTTCTTTTTCAGACATACACTGACATGAATCATTGTGTAAATTTTCAAGTGTATCATTCATTCCCGATGAATTGATTTCATTTCTAATGGGTAGAGTATCACTTAGTTTTTTAGTGTTTTCTTCAATTGATGGCTGGAGTGCAGCATTATTATTATGATGATGATGATGACTAGTAGGATGATGTTCAGTTTGACAAGTTCGCAATAAATGAGAACTAATCAATGAATTCAATTGACTTTCTAAATTCAATAAACGAAGTTCAGTTGTTGAAGGTAATGCAGGAATATGTTGTTCATTTTGTTCAGAGGTAACTGAATTTATCTATAATGAAAATAAAAATCCAAGTGTTACGCCTGCACGTGAACACGTCATTTTGATATGTTTGAACTATTACGAGTTTACCTTAGTCGGAAAACGAGAGCGGGGATCGAGGATCCGGGGACATCACCCAAACCCTATATTGAGTAAAAATAAGAAAACTTGATATGAAGTAGATCCTGTATTCTACAAGCATCCAGAAAGTACGAGGTGCGAATCCAGAAGAGAATCAGGATCCCGGACAAGAGATCCGGGACCGAGTACTGATCCTGGTTCTAGGCATAAAATAAATAAATCAATCTATCTGTGTACACACCTGATTTATGTATTAACTTTTAGTTTCCAGTAAAACAATGGACAATATTGATTTTTTCAGGTTTCTTTTCAGTAGTATATATAATTGTTCGAATAAAAATGCTGATATATTACTTTATATTATTTGTAGTCATAAACGGATAGTTGCTTATTATGTCAACTGAAACTAATAATGTGTTATAGAGAATGTAAATTTTTCACTACACCTCTAATAAATTTACGGCCAAACATCATAGTTTATAAAAATCGAAGGTAATCAAACAAACTACTGACTAATATTAAGTAGTTCGACGGTAAAAACATGTACAGCTGATTCTTTCATCTAAATTATTAATCAAAAAATAACCCATTAGCAAGTTCAATATAAAAGTTACAAGATGTACTCCTGTCCTTTGTGGCTTTTAAATGTTTGAAATTGGATACTTTGAATTTGATTAAAAACATGAGATTGTAAACAGGTAATATTGTTGAACTGATTATCCATAGACTTGTAGTGCCTCCACATATATTCCAGTTCGCTTATATCTAACTTGGTTAAGCCCTTTCGATTAATTTTTATTTAACCAAGCCATTTGTATAGCAACAATTGATATGTACCATTCGTTCTTATTATTATCATCTGGTTTGTATGAGCTCACATGACATGTTCCACTTGTCAATCATTCGTCGCTTTTATTCATGTGTGTGCATGCCTATTTCGCTTTCATATGTCTGTCTTACTTTTGTCTGACTATATATTCTTAGTCATGCTCTATCTCTTTGACTTGGCTCAACAGCCTTCTCCACATCGCTTACTTCTGCAGTTCACGTTGCTTCATTCGTTTTATTCACCGCTTCTCCGCTTCGCTTTGTGGTATGTCCCGAATAAACGTATTCATCAATAACGAGTTCATGTTCTGATCTATAAACCGAGCTTATGAACACGCAGTAAAATCGTCACACCACAGACTCATAAATCAATAAGGATTATTCCGTTTCACACCGTAATACATCAATAGAAGTACATTGAAAACAATCATACATCACAGCCTCTAAACGATTGTTCTGTAGTTTTTAAGACTAAATATAATAAAAGAAATTTCTATCTGGAAACTAATATTATTCAGAGTAGAATATTTATTTTAATGAAATAAACACGTTCAAATTCAATCAAATTTGTTTATATATTGGTGTAAAAAATCAAAATGCTCAAAAGCACACGTCATCTACTTACATTTTTAATTTCTTCATTGTTTGAATTTTTTGACAAGTTCATTTCATCTTGATTATAGTCTGGTTTCTTGTCTTTTCTGTCATGCAAATAATCAGATCCCTGAGGATGGACATAAAACACAGACACTTACAACATAAGTGGAATAAAAACTTAGTGAGAAAGCAGTATTGATCTCGAGTTAGTTTTCGATTAGATTCTTCAATAATGTGTGACACACCTTTAAACGGAATGAATTCTACTCTGATTTCTTCCATAAATGTATTGCATAATCCTATAAATTATTATTCTTGTCCTTTCTTTGATAGTTAGTTGCCTATTTTATTTCCTTACAATAGTAAAACTTCACTTTATGAAACATTTTTCGTCAATATTCTACGGTTCCATTTCGAATAAACAAAATGAACCGTTTGAAAACAATTAAGAGGCGGTTTTTTCGACGTCCTGGTGATACGTACTATAGGACTGATCCCTAGAAGTACGATCTCTTTTGCCAACCTGCGTCACTTGTGGCGTAGGCGAGATATCCGTTTACTGACTAAAGGACGAGTGTACTGTGCAGTAGTTCGCTCCGTCAACCGAGTGAGCAACACTGTTATTATGAAACGGGTGCTAGGTAAGAATGGCAGATCAATAGATGAAGTAATGAAACTTCATCAGTTGAGGTGGTTAGCACATGTGCTGCGTATGCCTAACCACCGAATACCTCAACGACCTTTGTTTTGTAGTGTAGGAATAGGTTGGAAGAAAGCTAGGGGCGGCCAAACCAAAACATGGCAGAAATCCATGAAGTCATTGACAAGTGGACTTAGCCATGTCGGTAGTTGTCGACTACCTGGTTGGGGTCCGCGAGATGATAATAATCGATGGTCAGAGACCTTGAATGACATGGCTCAAAACCGTTTGCAATGGCACCGGTGCATTTATTCTTTGTGTTCTCTCAAATCCTAATCTTCTGGATTCTTCAACACCTCTAGTTTTGACTTTCTAAACTTTTCTCACTGAATCATACTTCGTGAATAATATCTTCTAATCCTAACCGCTCCGATTACTGCTTAAACCTTTACTACCTCTACTACTATGGGATTTGATTTGATAATTACATCTCTGTGCTAATGTGGTATGGCAACATGAACTGATGTACTTACATACGAAGTTCTATGATGCATCTGACTGACTGACTGACTGAAGAGCTGGTTTAATTCCATGTTGATATTTTTAAAATTCATTTTGTGAGCACTGGATGATGATTGGTTAAAAAAAGCCAAGAAATCTAAGGTTACAAGTAACTGAGAATTCTGGGTAACAGTTTTTTTTTCTCAAAGTTTACAACAACAATGATTTCATTCTATTTGGTTCCTGTTACAATGAATCAATTAAGTGGTTAGGCTAAATGTATCATTTAGTTAATGAATCTGTTACGCTCGTCTCTAGGTATGTTTAAACTATCACGAGTTCACCTTAGACGAGTAACGAGAACAAAACAATGAACCAGCAGCCAGGTAGGCTACTGTGATCCCTTGACCAAACTGTATCAGCAAGAATTCTTGATATAGTGTAGAAATTGTTGTATTCTACAAACACCCAGCCAGCACACAATGAATCCAAGCACTCAAATTGCGTTTATTTATACCTTATAGAGACGACCTTGGGACAGTCACGAAAATAGCACACTATAATGACACAGTAACCAATCACAGCCAAGGATTTTCCTGGTGGGAAATATGATCTCAAGGTCAACTGATGGGTTCATGAAATAAATCTAAATCAAGCGAGTTCTGGAGATCTGACATCCTCAACAGAATCAAAGGTAACAGTATATAGTAATATAGTTAGCATCTCTTCTAAAATTAAGTATACAGTTGGCTAAGTGAGTTAAATTGGTATACCTACATAATTACTACCAATAATTATTTGTTAATGTTATGAACTACGGTCATTCAAGTCGGATACTGTGTACTCAAATCAGTTACTTCGGCGAGAAAACCAATAGTGAGTAGGAAGTTTTTATTGACTTAACGAATCAAGGCGTCACGAAAAACTCATCATTAAATATAAATACATGTCCCTCAGAAAATAAAGCCAATTTTTAGCTAAAAGCTTATATTAATCTTTTTAGAAAGTGAATCTAAATCTTAAATTATAGCATTAAATCGTCAGTGTCTCTCACTATTCATTTAGCCTATGTATGATTGACTTAGCATATAAGTTCCTAAGTGACTAACTTAGAGAGGTGATTTCTGTAGTTCTAGTAACAAGATGTGATTGGGAATACGACAAGTATCACCAGAGGTGATGTATATCTTGCAAATGGACTGGTGCTAGAAATGTAAACAACTCAAAAGTTTCAGGATGAAACGCTGGAGACGGGAGTTTGTGCTCGATCTCTGGCGGGGTTAGGATATATGCTGTTGAGTATTAACCACACTAAAAAGAAAATGCTATTCAGTACTTCTTTATTTTCTAATGGACCTTTAGTAACATTAAATCTATGATGTAAACTATTTTCAAATAGAACAATCTCTGTAGACCTCTCTATGTTATAGAGATCAATGTCCAACTGACAGATTAACTAAATCCAATTATGAAAGAAAAGCCTACAATTTGTATAGATATTCCCCTTTTCAGAAGGGAAATTATAACGATAATAACTGAATGAACCTACATGTATTAAACCAGCATATTCATACAAAAATATATTTTTAAACTTACTGACAGATCAGATATAGGAATCATATCGAGAAATTCATTCAATTCTTGAAAGGAGAAAAATAAAATTAAACTTAAAATCAATGATTTTCATTTAAATTTATTGGTTTACAAATGTAAACAAGTCAAACGTAACATGCATCATCATTATCATTCAGTTTAAGACTTAAAACAACTTTCTTCTACTAGTTAAAGTTATGGCTTCCGTGTTTATCACGAACTAGATCTAGTTCACAAGATAGTGGCGAAACATTAAGAGATGCAGTCCTATAGTAGACAGGGATCAAGAACAAGTTTATACATCATTTTTTCCTTGAGGATTCTAGAGCCCATGTGCACCAGTGGTTAGGAGTCACCGTTTTCCAGATTCACTAGGTGGCTCCTCAGTACCCGCCAATCCGGTTTAAACCTCGGCCGGAAACTCGCTTTGCGTACCCTCGATTTCGTAAACAAAACTTTAGTCACGAGATAGTGAACACAAATACTGTTTTACAGTTAAAAAGTACTCTCCTCAAACTCTACTGAATCGACATCGTAATAGTCTTACACTGAAATCGTCAATCATATATCAACTACAGATTTATGAATTCGGTTTAAAAAGCATACCTTCATTGTGAAGGCTTGTTATAATATACTGGTGCTCAAAACAAAGTATGAAGGGGGATGTTTGAATCTATGGTCTGGAGATCTAAATACCAAGCCCCCTCCCCAACTACCAGTCAACTAACATTGAACTACATAGGTATGAGATATGAAGTCAATTTATTCAACCAACCTGGCAAATCGGCTAAAACATCAATTTGAGTTGAATGACCCATTCTATCAATATGATCTAATATCTCCAACTGAGGAAGTCCCCGAAGTAAATCCAAACGATAATCTGGAGGAAAAACATAGAAAATCGACAACATATAACGCTGAAAAATATTCACAATAAATGATTAGGTATATCACATGAAAACACATCATCTTAAAAGAGATCCATAAATCTCATGGATAAATCTTATTAGCTTAGGAGTATAGTTTTCGAGACGCAAAGAATGATTTTTGGAGAATGGTGAGTTATCCTAAGCGTGTAAATAAGCTGCAAACATGGTTTAAATTGCAGCTTTTCTGTAATTATCCATGAAGGATATAATACAATATAATAATTACAATGCTTAGTAATGACCATAAACTGGTGATAACAACTGATGTACGTGAAGTCGGTTTTGTGTTACCTTACGACTGTCAAATATTACTTTTGAAGTAAAGGTACTTGAACAAGTTGTCAGTGTCTAAACATAGATTTTTGTATGAAAAACTCATTGAATGTGTTAAGATAAACAAGTGAGAATGTTCAGAATAGGCACGGAGTGTATGAGGTAGAAATAACAAGGCGGTTTACAAGGTTATGAAAAGTCATCAACTGAGGTCATAACTTTTAAAAATACTTTTATATAATACACTTTTGATTCTTTTTAACGTTTTACTTTTACGTTGTTGTTTATGTTGTCGTTTATGATTGATGGTCAAAAAGTTAGCGTGTTTTTTGGAAACTTCAAATGTGAAGATAGTCTACAACTTATGATCAACCACAGAGACTACTAGAGCTACTTGTTACTTGATTATATCATTGAAGATTAGTTAGTCTGTTTGTTTTAGACGTCCTGAGATTTAATAAACCATCGCACTACACTTACAGATGATTGAATTAATTAATTATGACAACTCTAGTTTCATCGCGCCAATGTGATTCATATTTACTTTAGCAATTTTGTAAGCATTGATTAGGCGCTTTACTGTAGCTTATATCTTGCGAATGTTGGTTGACGACACAAATGAGGTGCACACATGCTGACAAGTAAGGCCGAAAAGCTTCCCCTATGGGACGTTATTGTCTAACTACCTTAAAAAAAACAGTTGTATATCTTCATAACCTCAAAAAAAGAATAAAATTTTTGAATTTTTCTAAAACGAGTTCACATATTCAAAATATTGGCTGAATGTAAAAATATTTTGTTACTTTGATAGGAAGATGAAGAAAACAGTGATGATAAATAGTTGAAAGATATTACAATAAAGCCGCATTATGACACAAGTATTTGAATAATAAACTGTTTCAAACTGTTGGTACTTGGTAAATATGAATTTTTAATTTTTTCCTCTAAAATTTTTTTTTCATGCTATCATAGTGAATTCGCAGTATAGCAGAACATATCGTAGAAGTTTTTAAGCGCATCATCATCAGAATTTATAAACAATGGTATTTCGAAATGTGACCAAACAGTTATAAATTTGTATGTTTAGTCAGTCAGTCAGTCAGATGCAACGTAGAACTTGGTACGTAAGTACATCAGTTCATGTTGCCATACCACATTAGCACAGAGATGTAATTGTCAATTCAAATCCAATAGTAGTAGAGGTAGTAAGGGAATTAGTAGTAATCGGAGGGGTTAGGGTTAGAAGATATTATTCAAGAAGTATGATTCAGTGAGAAAAGTTTAGAGAGTCAAAACTAGAGGTGTTAAAGAATCCAGAAGATTAGGATTTGAGAGAACACAAAGAATAAATGCACCAGCGCCATTGCGAACGATTTTGAGCCATGTCATTCAAGGTCTCTAACCATCGATTATTATCATCTCGCGGACCCCAACCAGGTAGTCGACAATTACCGACATTGCTCAGTCCACTCGTCAATGACTTCATGGATTTCTGCCATGTTTTGGTTTGGCCGCCCCTAACTTTCTTCCAACCTACTCCTACACTACAAAACAAAGCTCGTCGCGGCAGTCGGTGGTTAGGCATACGCAACACATGTCCCAACCACCTCAACTGATCAAGTTTCACCACTTCATCGATTGATCTGCCATTCTTACCTAGTACTCGTTTCCTAACGACAGCATTGCTTACTCGGTTGTCCCACGGTATACGAGCAATGCTCCGAAGACACCTATGATCGAAAACCAGTAACCTACGAATATCTTCTACTCTCATTGGCCATGTTTCACAGCCATATAGGAGAACGGAGCGAACCACTGCACAGTACACTCGTCCTTTGATTAGAGATCCGATATCACGCCTACACCATAAGTGACGCAGGTTGGCAAAAGCCAATCGAGCCTTCTGTATCTGAGCTGAGATTTCGTCAGTCACCAGGCCATCGGCAGTGATGAGACTCCCAAGATAAGTGAAGCGGTCTACTCGCTCGACTACTTCACTCCCTATCACTAGTTCAGGTGCCGATGAAACCCAGTCTTGAAGCAACATTTTGCATTTCGAGGGGGAAAACCGCATCCCGAACATGCTTGCATTGTTGCTTAGGGTAGTCAGAAGACTCTGCATTTTGTCAGCATCTTCACCAAGTAGGACTATGTCATCGGCATATTCTAAGTCAATAAGCGAGCCACCTGGTAGAAGGTCTACTCCTGAAAATTCAGACGAGGATAAGGTTATTTCTAGGAGCATGTCAATAATAAAATTAAACAAAAATGGAGAGAGTGGACATCCCTGACGGACACCACTTGATGTACAGAATTCAGGTGACAGTTGGCCATAAGCCCTCACTCGACCAGTGGTGTACGAGTAAAGGGCTTGTATAAGGTTAATGTATATATTTACTAATTGTATGTTTAGTAAATATATACTTATTTTAAACCAGTTAAAATAGAAATCAGCCACATATAGAGGAGTTGTGAAAAAATAAATAACCGTTTTATCCTGTACAAGCATTAAAAGATAAAGATTTTTCGTTATTTTTTCTGTTTGAAATTAGATAAGATACAAGCCATTTAAGCTAGATTTACAAAAGAGATTTTATGTCAAAAATTTATCAGTATAAAACTTTAAACAGGAATGTTTTTTAGAATGTCAATTAACCAGAAGCTAAAGATTTTCTCGAAACAAAACTTATTGTATCGAATATGCATAATTCATTTCCTTTTAGTGACTAAAACAATTAAAAAAACAGTGATAACGTAAAAATCACACTTATTATACGAAAAGATGCATGGTAAATAATGACAAGACAATTTCGCACAGATTTTGCAGGATGTATGCAAATAGTGAATGATTTATTAATGAATCCCCCAAGGCCAAAGGTAAAGAGGAAGACCAAAGAATTGGAAGTAGGCATCAAGCGAATGAACAGCGATTGGGCAGAAATGGAAAGTAAGGCACAGGATGCAGTAAGGTGGAGAATGCTAGTTGGCAGCTTATGGTCTATGAAGGGTAACAGGAGTAAGTAATTAATGAATTATTGTTGTGTTATAATGTGACGCCGCAAGCTTTTTAAAAATAAATGATAAACGGTAAGAAAAAAGTACGCCTTCATGCAGATATAACTCACTTTGATCTACAAACATTCAAGTTACTGATAAGTTACATAGCCATGTGATCGAAGTTGGCTATGAAAAAAGTGCTTTTAATTATTACTTGGATAATGTACATCAAAACTGGTATTGAATTGTACAACTAATATGAAAGTTAATCAGGCTTTACCAATGTGGTAACGGTATTTTAAACAACTAATAACATAACAAGCAGTACATACTTTGTTTTGCCTAAATCTTAATATTCCTTTTGTTTATCAATATTACTGAATAAAAAAGCAACAGAAAAAATTCATGATTACAGTTAGAACAAACATTTGTGTTTACCTGGTTCGTTACAAACAGGATTACTATCTCCTGTTTGTGGATTGTGCAAAATTAGTTGGCGCAAATTAACTAGGTTTTTTGAGCACTCCAAAATATGTGACTTAGAATTGATTTGATTTCCTTGCAATATAATGACGGTCAAACTATAACTTGGACCAGATAGCTTTTTTAAACCAACTAGGCTAGTTATTTCATTGAAAGAAACATCTAAACGGACCAAACAACTGGGGAAACAGAAAACGAGAAAAGCGTTTTTCAGTTAAAAACAGCTTACAATTAAGCAAATAAGACATTTACACACTTACAAGCATTAAAGTATACGTAAAATACTTCTGTTACAAACTTTTCAACTGAAACAACACCAAGGAATAGAAACACAAAATCTGAGTATAACAAGTCTTAGATTTGCAAATTAAGGGCCTAATGATGCCTAAATAAAGTCTAACATGCTGGTAACAGTTTAACGTCAGCACTAAACTTTTCACTGTTTGATATAAGAGCTTTAAATCTTTTTACACGGAAATACTTATATGATTTTGATCTAGATGTTGCAGAAATAGAATAAAAATGATGTCATATCCAGCTATCAAAAATTGAACTCCCCGAAGAAAATATTTCTTCGCTGTCTAAGTGAAATTATCATTTTGACAAGTGTCTAGATAATTTTGACAGAGTGAATTACTCCTTTTAACTTCAGAAACAACGTCTGTCTGCAGAAGAACGGTGTGAACTTTTATTTATTTCATGATTCAGCTAAAACTGATATTAACATCCAAAACGTTCTGGAAAGAACTGACATATCTGAAAATCTTCAACCAACATCGTTTCTTAAAGGTGCACCGTATGATCACATACCCAATGAATTTGCAGCTGAGTTGTCAAAGCCACAGGTTCATCCATTACGGAAAGAACGGTAAATGTTTGACTTATGATTTCGACCGTGATGATTAAGAGATATGTTTATCATATCTATTATTTACGAGGTAATTCATTTACATATCAAAGGGCAAAGGTAACTAGACTGGTGGATAACGAGCCCAAAACATCAGTATCATATAGTATAGTTTAAATCATGTAACGATAGTTTATTGGGATCTTACATAAAAAAAGGCTCATGAGACGACATATCCTAAAAGGCATAACGAGTAAGGCTGGTTTTTGCGACTCATGTTTATTTAGTGCATTGATACAGAAATTCTTATCATTAAATGTGCTTGAAAAAGCTTTAGCAAAGGATTAAAACATTGAAACTTGAGGTTTCTTTCATGACTGTGAAGATGTAAGTAGTAACAGTTATCTTGTAAGAAAAAAATGTGAGTTAGAATTTACACATGGTAATTCTGTGCGTTTCCTAAGTATATATTTAAAAAATACAATAGTAGGTTTCACTTTGCATAGTCACACACTCTAAGCAAGAACATCTTGGGACACCTCGCGTGAACTGCTGGTTTCCACATTGTTTTACAATTTAATTAAAACTACTTACACTTCTCAAAGATTGATACTCTAATTTTGTTAACATCATTGTAAACTACTACCAAAATGTTTGGAAGTAAGCGTATTTTTAAACGAAGGCTAGAACATTTGCTTCGCCTAAATGTGCAGAAAAATGATTTGCTATTGAAAAATTATAGTAACCCTGGAATGTATTCCGGAAAATAAGCAAACAAGTTAGCGTAAAGATAAGTAAAAACTGGATTATTTTGTATAAATCTAGCAACACAATAGACTTTCTTAATGATATTTAATTTCGCACCTACATGTGATGAAAATCGGCCACTAGTATTCAACATATCATGTAGATAACTTTGCGTAACAGGTGAATATTACGGAGACAAACAAACATCATACATAGGTGAACAATTTAGAAACAATTATTTCTGTACAGTGAAAAAATTCAACTGTCGACAAATAATTAAGACCGACACAGAACGCAGGAAAAAAATTCATCAGAAAGAAAACTAGAAAATAAATAAGTAGACACTAAACTTACTTTAATTTTTCCAAAGAATCAATGGCCCGAATTTTATTCGACGATAAGTTCAAAATTCTTAGATGCTGTAAACTGTCTAGTCCATGTATTTTGGTAATATAATTGGAAGATAAATCTAAATAACGCAACATAGTCGCTTTTGTGAGTCCATTAATCTCCGAAATACGATTGTGATGTAGATTCAAAACAGTTATTTTCGGAGAAAATTTGAGACTACTGATACTATCGATTCGGGAATTAATGAGTTCCAACTCAGTTTTGACACTCATCTATTGTGCAAGGTTCAAATGTAACGTTGTTAACAGTTTTGAAATGCGGCCATAAAAAATACATATCAATATCCAATATCCAGTATCGTTTTCGCGAGCTAGTGTAAACCAATTAATTTGTTCGGTCGATTCTCGCTCTTTCGGTACGATTCCAAGTGTTCAGTTTCGGATGGTGGCGAATGGTAGTCTAGCCACTCGGCTGTACTGATTTTAGTCAGTTGGCAGTTACTTATGTATTTGTAGATCCCATCCAATATCCAATATCTTTTTCACGAACTAGTGTAAACCAATTTGATTTCTTCGCGCTCGATTCTTGTTCTTTCGGTACGGTTCCAGGTATTAGGTAATTTCCAGTGGATGGAGGTCTAGCCACTCAACTGTCTAATTCTAGTCAGTTGGCAGATGGTTGTGAGTTTGTGTGTCTCGGGATTTGAATGAAACGTTTGTTTCAGGGCAGTAGGGTTTCTGGATACCAACAGTCATCACATTACAAGACCGAAGATCAGTTAGTTGCAATGCGGAGAATAATAAAGATAAGATTCTAATGATAACATGAATAAAATTTCAGAACAAAGTAATATGTAGTTGATTTAGTTTATTAATTGGTAGTGAAGATTGTGAGAGAGAACGATAGTGTAAGCAAGGGAGAGGAAATAGAAATAATAGGCGAGACAGATTAAGTATGTGATATGAGAAGATGGCGATGATAACAACTAGCAGGTCTCAAGATATGCATCATGAACAGCTTGTCCAAGAGGGAGATGATAGTCCGTATGTGAGTACGTGATTATCAAGTCTCTTATTAAAACAGTGCACTGAGGGGGCTATGGTCACCTCAGCTGCGAGAGCATTCCAAGTTGCGACGACTCGCAATCAGAAAGAGTGTGCACGAACCTGGGTATTCGCTCTTTGATGTGCAATCTTTCGAGGATTGCCTCGAGTGTAGTGGTGGTGATGCATCGGTAAGATGCTCACATTGGGATGGTTTGGCGTGTTTTACATAGTGTACGCCATAATCAGTCCTCTTACGTTGCTATAGAGGCATTTGGTGGTTTGTCTCATCACCCGGTGCACTTCCCATTGTTTGTATCTATTCTTTTGTTTCAATGCAGAAGGCGTTCTGGATACTAGCAGTTGTCACCTTACCAGGCTAGAGATAAGTTGGCTGCAGTTCGGAGAATAAGGATAAAATTCTACTTCTAATGAGATTTCAGAACTAAGTAAATAAGTGGATAAATAGGTTAATTAGTTGGCAGTGAAGATTTTGTGAGGAAAGAAATGTAGGCGAGGGTGAGGAAAAATAATGAAAAGCGTGAGAGACTAATTTTGGTGGTCTGAGAAAATGACAGAAAGAAGTATATTATTGGATAAACAAGCTAATTGATTGGTAGAGCATGTAGAACAAGAGGACCAAAATATAAAACCTAGATGATGCAAAGGCAGATAGAATAATTTAGTGATCTAAGGAGGTGAAAATAATAACAACGAACAGGTTTCATGACATGCTTCAGTCACTGTTTCTTCAAGCGGAAGATGATAAGTCGTTGGAGTGTACATGATGATCAAGTCTCCATTGAGGAGGCTGAGGTCAAGGCCTTTGCGAAGTCACGGAATATTATCTGAACCGGTATTTGTCGGTCCCAGTGGGTTTTTCAGGTGTGCCATGCTATAAAAAGATTGGACGTGCACAATCTGCCTTTCCTCAACCCATGTTGAGCTACATGGAGGATTTCGTTCTTGTCCAAGTGCTCCCTCACTCGCTCATTCGCCGGTCCTTCCATTACCTTAGATAGCATTAGTAGAAATCGGGTTGGCCTGTAACAGTCTGCATCCTTTCTATCTGCTAGTTTATTGAGTAGAGAGAGCATCCTGTTTCATTTCAGATTGGAGTGGTTAACACTCCAGTGAATGCCTGAACAGTTCACGAACCGGTGAACTGAGAGCTTCTACGTATTTTTTCAAAGGCATGAGTGACTATCCTGGGTACAAGCATTTTGGTTTCATTAGAAATAATTCCGGAGTAAGTCGGATATTCCCTAGGCCATATGCTGGCACAGGTTTTGATTGGTACTCTGGATGATAATCCTTTAATAACAACAATGGTAATAATTGTATTTCCAATAATAGGATTACAAGCACTTAAAGTTATTAAGCGGTCATGGTGCTACTTTCATGCAAGTTGGACCTGACGTAAGCTCTGAATAAATTTACGGCTCATACCGAGGGCCTTTCTACGACGAACCCGAACAAATATAAACGTACCTACAACATCACACAAATACCCTGCAAGTGAGTCTCCATAAACAAAGTCTTCTGTGCCAATCGGGACATGAATACTACATGATTAATCTGCTGTGGATCAGTCAGAACTGTAAGTGTTAAAAATGCATAAACTTGGCTACTTAGCCGGCAATTCTTTATTGAATCGACGTTGAATTATTGTCTTGCCACGGATAGTTCCAATCTTTTTAAATATCAATATGTGTTTAAGTACTGAGTGAGTATTAGTGAAGCGATTTGCATCCATGATACCACAAAACTGAAAGAGAATGGGCGGAAGAACTTAAACTAGACTCTATGTAACTTGAGTTCTACAAAACAAGAGTGGGACAGTCCACACTCTCTTAGTAGAGAGCTTTTAACAAACTTTATGCTTGCACTATCAGGTGTGTTATACACATCGGCACGTTGCATACATTGAAGTCCTTTTGACGCTTCTGATGATATATGATTAATTATCATTTCAATGTTGTTTAGAGAAAAACTCTCTTCGAGGTTAGGAAACGGTATAGTAAAAGCCATACGTAACCCAGGTCTATCGCAATTGATCGATCGCAGCCGAATGGTAGATAGGAAAAGGACGTTCAAAGTAGTTAATCGCATTATCCATGAGGTTGAACCTCGTCTCTTGCAAATAGCAAAGGCTATAGGGGTTCCAGATGGCAATCCTATTCATTGTGTCCATAAGTAATTTGTGACACCTCAACCTCTTCCTAACCGAATAAGGTTCAGCAAATGATTTTACCTATTCGCTTATCATTATCATTTTCTACACTACTCTTCTGTTCGCTTATTTTTCTTCATTATTTTATCTACTAGTTCACGATTACTTTGTCTTCTGAACTGTGGTCCGTTAAACCATGCTCTGTTCAAGTATCCAACTGCCCTGCTAATATTTTTCCCGCTTTTGTTTCTTTTCAGAAACTTATTAGCAGTGAACGAAAATAAGGCTCCTTCTTGTGTGCAGAACACACCTGATATACAAGTTCGTCAGACTCACAACTCGCACCAGGCGCCATCTAACCGACAACTTCACTCAAATACTGCCAGTGAATCTCCACTAACAGCGTCTTGTCAGTCGTGGTTGAATATTGAATACTACCTAAGAACACTGCCGTAAAACCACCCTATTTGAAATCGATCGTTGAAAACATAACTGTACCAAAACGTTCATGTCGGTGAATTGGCCTAATCGTGCTATTTCAAGAGAACAATATCAATAACATGGTTATATATGTATATATGTGAAACCTATTGAAAAGATTTCATAGCAAGTGACTTCGGAAGTCCTATTTTAGTGAGATTTACCAGCCAAGGAACGATATTTTTATTGTTAATCATATGTCTTATTACCTCACACTCCTTCTTGCTTCTATCCCTATCACTTAGGTTGTTGAATGCCGATACTTCCGGAATAACATCAAAGTCCTGGACTAACCGAGTTTCAGCCACAGCTGGGATCAGGAGACAAGCTGATGATCTGTCATAGTTACAGCAGCAGATTGGTTACAAAACAAGCATCAGGCGCAGTTGGTTCGAGTGACAGAAGAATATCCGTATGTGAGTACGTGATAAAGTTTGAACGAACAAACCTAAGAAATGCAAAACGGAATTCGGAAAAACTTCTTGCTCGCTAAGTATGCTGCGACATGGAATTAGTCTTCCCTGGAAAGTGCGCACGACAGATACACTACATGAGTTCATAAGGATTCTTAACGAAGCTCTCAGCTGCGCAGATTCCTCTGCAATCGGTAACTCACTCGTGCCCTGTTTCACCACTACTTGATCTGTACACGTTTAAACCTTATCGAGTTCAAAGCTCCATTTTATAATTTCCTTCCCCTTCTCTGAGGTAGTATTAAATTCTTCTAGTTGGCTGGAAATATTAAACATCATCATTTGCTGCTTAACCTCTAGTGATCATGCATCCACAGCCTGAAAAGCCATCACCCAGTTTCGATTGGACAAAACTTTCTCAGCACCCATAATTTTGTGGGTTGCTTTTAGCTGTCGTCAGTTTCACTGTTCTCGAATGCGCTCCATTGGCTTGCCATTTATTCCATCTCGCTGTCCACTACCCCGTATATAACCGTAATACTCCTAAACTTTCCCATTAACTTCATTACACATCTTTCCTTCACTACGTCCGTAAAACTTATAGTATCATTAGAAACCCATAGCACTTAACTGAATTGCACTGATACCTAATCCATAGGCCATCAGTTTTGACAGCCTAACAAGCCTGTAGAATGGAATTTGCAGAAATATGGCTTCTCAGTAGGTTATGAGATATAGAGTCTCGAGTAAAATAAATAATATAATGATTCTGTGGTTCTCTTAAAATGCAACTGTTTCAAATAGTTCCTGTCAATGATATGGCGTAAACTTGCTGTGAGAAACAGATCATTATAGGTAATCTAACTGCGCAAACTTTTACTGTGTATGTGGCAGCATTATTGGCAATCTAATCTCGCAAGTGAACAGGCTTGCTTCAAGGGACAAAGTAATATATGGGAAATAAATATTATCATTATTACGTAAAACGAGTTGCTGTACAAATGCCATCACGCTATAGTTGAACGGTGAGGTAAGATGGTGCTAATGGTTTTCGTTAGGACAAACGGCAACAGGTTTACTTTTATATGAAAATAACAATCGCCAATGAATAGACAATTAGTGTTAACCTGACTGCGATAAACTGAATACATACATCCATTTAA